AGTTGTTGGGCTGTCGCTACTGGTAGTTTCTGTCGATGTGTCAGTACTAGCAGATTTGGTTGGTGTGCTATTATCTGTAGTGATTGAGTTGTCGGTACTGTCACTGTTGGTAGTTTCTGTCGATGTGTCTTTACTTGTAGTTGTTGGGCTGTCGCTACCGGTAGTTTCAGTTGGTTTGTCTTGACTTGTACTTGTAGGGCTGTCGGCAGCATCGCTACTGGTACTTTCGGTCGCGCTTGTGGGGCTGTCAGAAGACGTTGTCTCGGGTAAAGGGACACGACGGTGGAGTTTGAAAGATCTTCTTATTACTGGGGCCGGCCCATTCGCTCTGTATCGTCTGCTTGATATAATTCCAAAAGCTTCGCCGACTTGTACCGACGCCAGCAAACATATGCTAGCCACAACTACCAACATTATGGATACACCCGTTAGTTTATTCAACATTTTATTAGGATATACGTATATATTAATAATACTCGTTAGAGAAACCAAGATTGTTCTTCGTCTATTAACGAACAAATGCTTTCTTTTATGGTTTGAAGAAACACAGTCAGTCTATTGATGGAAAAGTTTGAAAACTATTGCGTTTGCTAATGATATAGTAATGAATGGACTAATGAATGAATTGATAAAATAAAATGAATGTAGTAGTTAAAAGAAGGGAGAGAACAGCGCAGGTAAGAGTAGACAGAAGTTGGTGTTCTACTGTCAATGCTCCCAAGTTATGTTTATGAAGAGTGGAGTGTTGGATGAGGGAGAGGGGAAGCGAGTCTGATAGCTGAATGACAGCATATGTAGGAGGGACCCACGCGCTCAGAGGGGCAGGAGTTGCAAGATGTCTTGCAGACAGTTAAGGGAGGTTAATGAAGTATTCTACACGAAAGAGGGAAAAGCCAAGAACGGAGGAATTGAGAAATGCATGTTTCTAATAGAAGTTCAATCACAGATAGTACCAATTAAACCCCAGAAACATAATAAGTAATCTTTGCATTCTTATTTGGTACCGGATACTCGGAATGGACTATAGAATGTATTACAGTATGCATTGATTAAACCTCATTTCTGGCAATCTTCTGTATACAGGAATTTGAAATTTTAGTGCAAGATAAATAAAGCAATTCCCACTTGGGCAGCGCGAGTGGTTGGACGCTGTAACACGACAGTAAAGACAATACCAGTGAGATAGTGTTAAACGTCACATTAAATGTATCACGTGAAATAGGTGATATATTATCAATATAATAATATAATAACGTCCGAAACCCAATAAAGCATCTCTATCGTAGTATGACCCCATTTCAAACTATAGTTAGTTTAATATCTTAATGTTATATATAGTTAAATTGAGTTGACCGACAGACAACGGAGACTCTACAGATACATTGAGCACAATCAATTAAACGGTCGCCGTGTTCATAGCTGTAAATTTATAGATGTAAACATCGTACCTAGCCAGTCATCCTCACTTGTCATCTTCGCGATTGCCGTCACTGCTTCTGGATCGACTTCTCTTCGGACTAGGGGACTCTTCACGGGTATGTCTAGGAGACGACGATCGGGAATCGCGTTCCTTTCCATTGGGACCTCCTGACTTTGACCTACTACGAGAGTGACGATGGCCACGATGAGGAGATCGAGATAATGAGCGACGACTATTACGACGAACTGGCGATCGAGATCGAGATCGAGATCGACGTCCACGACGATCGCGTTCAGTGTCGTTATCCTGAATAAAGCAAGCAGAATATTACTAAAATTTCATAGATATATCACAATAATTTTCGTTTTCTAATAGCTAGATAGTCTATTACTTACAGGCGCCTCTCGCAGAAGAATATGTTTCCCTTTGAGTTCAGTGTCATCAAACTTCCTTAACGCTGCCTTCATGTCGTCATATGAGGAGAATTCAACAACACTACAGGCGAAAAAATCAATGTTAGTATTTTAAGAAACATAAAATACTGAAATGATAAACAGATGTATGACATAATGAGCATATCCCTAATATCGTGTATGTTTATAGTAATAACCGTGCATCGTCTACTCACCCTTCTCCTTCGCGGTCTTTATGACAATCAGCAAATGTGACATCGCCTGCCTTGCGCATCAAATCCTTCAAATCCTTATATAGAATGATACAGGGATGAAGGTGGAGTGGAGTGTTTGATTTGAGTCAGAGTAAACGCACGATTCGGACACAGGTTCCCCGGATTGTGTGCTCCATTTACTATTATCACGCGGTGTCACCCGGGTACATCAGACAGGATGACCAAAAAGCACCCTGTCAAACTCAACGTAGATACCGTTGGCAGGTCTATGAATGTAGTCGAGCATTACACTATTAAAGCTCCATCTTCTAAATATTTCGAAGTGCACACTGCGTCTATATGTCATTTTCCATTACATAATAAACTAAATATCCATTGTCATCACAAAATCGTTAACTATAATCTGCATAGACCATAGTCAACCTCTCAGAATATAAATAGAAAGCATCTCGGCCATATAAAGTACATGTGCATAATCAACGAGAATACAGTCAGATCCAAGACCTCATTCAATCATAGACGCCATAAATAGTAGAATAGTCGCAAAGGAGCATCCAGGATCCATGTAATCCTTAGTAGAAACCATAGGGGAGCGAGAGACCAAGAAGCCAGCCACATAGCAGGGAGCTGCAGGCGGCACGCATATGGAGGATGGATGGAAGATTGTTGCATACCTGCCAGCTACAGCTTGAGGATAAGTTCTCGACAATCAACCGGTACTGCGGATTTCTCTGAGGCGGAGCAAACCGACTATTAGATGGAAGTAGACAGAACGTTTAATTGATGTAACAAAACAAGACGCAAGTATAACATAATGTAAATTCAATTTATAATATAAACTAAGGAGGAGGAAAAGGAATAACTGTTCCAGGACTGGTGCAACATGCCTCCCACCACGATCGCGGTCGCGGTCGTCCCGGCGACGATCATCCCTATCCTTATCCTTGTATTTGCGATCGTCCCTGTCTCTGTCTCTACGGTCATCCCGATCACGACGTCGTCGCTCGCCACGAGCATATTCGACAATCAATCTACGGGGAGTAACGATAAAGGAGGAAAACAGATACAACACACAAAATATTAGTATACTATCCAGGATAGTACGTAATAATTACGCATAGCAATTCGACAATCCAATCCCAACAAGGCTACTCACTTCTCACCCAAAAAGGTCTTGCCGTTGAAGGTATATACAACATCGTCGGCGTCACGATGATCACGGAACTCCACAAAACCAAAGCCATTCATGAGTTTAATCTCCCTGATATTTCCATAGCCCCGAAACAGTTTCTCAACGTCCCGTTCACGGGCATCCCTTGGAAGACGACCGATGTAAACTCTGGTAGCCATGTGCAACTTGATGATAAATTAAACTATAGTGCTTGCTATCAGAGGCGATAAATACGCTTCAGAGAGGAAGTAAAGGTCCTTTTATTAGTTTGGGAAAACTTCAGATGAGGGTTATGTTCTGTGGGCTGAACCTTTTTATTCCAATGCTGGTTATTCGACCAATGAGCTTGCGTCTTCAACATTAAGTGATGGAATCACGCCACAGTCCATAATAATAAAAAGCCACGATCATCTCGCAAGCGCCACGGCAACAATAATGCTTTTTAATTAATAGTATCTTCGACTACCCAGTTTATTCCGCCTTCCGTTTATGAATTTGATTGCGTCCAATATGTTTGTCAAAGTCGACGGGCACATTAGTAATATAATATTATAATTTATTAATCATTCCGCTGATAGTTGTTCATGGCAGTTTCTCAATGCAAAAAAATGGAAATAACATAATTATGTTATTCCCCAGGATGTCGCTGGACCACATGAAGAGTGGTGTCCATTTCTGTCGTCAAGCCGCATGTATGCTAGGTTGACGATCCTAGCTGATTTCTTTCGTCAGACCACATGTAATATAATGTAAAGTATATAGATTATCCGATTCAGGTTATGACGAGTCATGGGCGACTACTCTGTATGCTGAGTTAGGTTATGCTGACTTGTTGGCCTTATCGCGAGTTTGACGGATTATGTCATCATTTGTGGAGGCATATAGCCAGAGTACAAGTATATGCTATCGGGTATATTGCAAATATTATTGGGTAATGCCATATACATATGTTTGCAACCTATAATACATAATTACTGTTGTATATGCTGTAAGTCACGAAAAAAATGGGTTAGCTTCGACTATATAAGTGAGAAGGCGGGTGTATGTTATTTATCCCGAAAACATGTACATTGAAAAGTGTAGTGTTCTTCCATAATTATATAATAGATCCGAAGATTACTACACCTTGACCTACCCGAAAACATATTTGAATGGGTAGGTTTCTACCATTTTTCTTATATAATATTTCCGTACTTACCCATGATCATATACCCGGGATATAGATATATACCCAAGAATATATTGTCAAATGGGTAGGCTTCTGCCATTTTTCTTATATAACATTTCCGCTACGAATACATACCCCAAAATCTTCCATCGAAACGGGTAGCCTTCTACGATATTTATTATATAATATTACCGAAGTTACCTACCATGATCACATACCCGGAATACCCGGAAATATATTGTCAAATGTACGATGATTTTTCGTAGATATCCGATAATCAAGGTGAATTATGTCTTCCTTTTTGTTCAGGGATATCATAATCGGAATTCATCAGTTATCTTTTTTTCAATTCAATTCAAGTCAAGTCAAGTCAATTCAAGTTTCGAAGATATGACTTACACTATTCTTTGGATTGCTTACTAAGTCTATGATTCACTCATATACTACTCAGCAGGTGATAAACTGAATTATGTGGATAGGCGAAGTGAATCTATGATGATCGATGGGATTGAGTTTTCTGTTTCTACTGATAGAAAGCCTTTCGTTTTTACAACGACGCCATGCTCACAAACAAGCCTCACAGAGATAATTTTTAAATAAACAAAATTATTACACCATAATATTAATTGATCGTGTATCGTACCCATTGTCTTTCGCTACTTTTCGCATTCAGTACGCATTCGACTCTAATACCATTAGTGATGCATTGCCATCAACAGGCATGGGATTATAACATTCCTCAGATGAGAATTATTGTTATTCACTTGCTATATTATGCTGGTCTATGATAGCAAAGTAATAGATTAGAGTTTATTATGCTAATACATTTATTTTATGGTTACGATTTATGCTGTGACCTTTTCGTTTTAATCGTATGATGTTATGCTATGACCTCCTTGTTTAATCGTATAATGCTATGACCTCTTCGTTTTAATCGTATAATGTATTTGCGAATGAATTTTGCAAGCGATGACATATTGCACTATCGTATATTCTTTTTAACGCATTGAATGTCGGTTACAATCTTTGTATCCGCTGATAATATCATATTCTTTGACTTTAATATAGAACCTCGTCCTTGGGTTTAAATTCTAGCTCGTCAATGATCAAGTTGTGGGTTTGGCTTCTATTTGCTATTACGAAATGTCCAATATCAATGTTACAAAATTCGAATACATTGTGTATCCATTAATGAATGGCATCATTATGAATGAAGAACTTTTATGTATGTTAGGATGAGGAGAGGTGATTTTAGAGAGATGAAACACCAGAATTGAAACCAGTAAAGATCTTTGTACAACGTGTCGGGTTAAATTGTTACTGGTTTAAAAACAACGCGATTTGCTGTTTCTCGACCTCAAAAATGACAGATTCACATTGTTTATATAATAATAAAGCCATTAGAGACTATTTTGACGATACGCCTGCTGAAGAGTGGTCGTATCTTAACTTTTTAAACTTTTTTAAACCTGTCATTATGTCAAATTTGGATGTAACGGAACGAGAAGATAGAGGTACATGGAGAAAGAGATTTATAACACGTATAGACAAAATTGTGGAAGGTGACGCGTATAGTGAACAACAAAGGGTGTGGCAATTCGCTTAAAAGAAAAGATATTTTCAGATATTATTTCTTCTTCTATTTCTCTTCAAAATCAGTCAAGACAGTACTACACAGCCAAAGGACGGTTTTGTTCCCTCCGGAAATATGACGGTTTCGTTCCCTCCGAGGTGATGACGGTTTCGTTCCCTCGTATTATACCTGACTGTTTCTGAATTTTGAATTATTTAGTTTTGGATGATTTATAAGATCTGCATATGACAAATAAACTCATAATAATTTTTAGAATCCGTTGTCTGCAGATAGTTTCTGGGACAAACCTTGAAAAAGAGAAAAAAGTCTTACGTGGAAAACGAGAGATAATGAACAAGATGGTATGTATTATCCCCTGCATGTAATTTATGTCACGTGTCCTAATATCATCAACCTTTCAACTCTAGAATTCAGTACGCAACAAAACAGAAATAGAAGTTCTAGATCTATTACATACTGCACGCACAGGAAAAGTGAAAAAATTTTTGAAATCATACTCATTGAAGCGGAAACCTGAAAACGAAATGCCCATGTAAGAATGCATTGATTGTACTTAATATTAACATTATTTACATCCAGTCCATTAAGCTCATTGTTTCTTTATATTAATATTAATTCATCCAGTGATCATACTGAAGGAGAAGATGACGACCCAGAGGAAGATGATGAAATTCAAATGACCCAAAAAAAAAGGAACAATTTTAAAAAATTTACCAGGCAATACCTACAGAGGCATAATTTGTCTTAAATTCAAAAACTGTTGTTGAGGATGTCTTATTTGAATATGCAAAGATCTGGAGAAAGAGAGGTAATTTATTTAAATCTGAATTTTTAGCATTTTCTACTTTTAACATATTGAATAAATTCTAGCCATACCCACTCCTTCATAATATGTGATCATGATGATAAAACAAAAGCATTATTCAGTAAAGAAGACTGGAAGGAACTCACAAAGAAGCCTCCATTGCCATCTGTTGATTATGAAATTGGAAAAGAATTGGCCAAGTACATGAAGGAAAGTCTTACTGAACTTCGCCAAGAAGTAATGTGCAATTTCCTGAAAGAAAATGAAATTTATGATCCAAAGAAGCATTACTTAAAAGAATGGATCCAAGTTACCTTGAGACTTCTGTGCAACCTTTATGAAAATCCATCTGCTCCTTTATGCCAGGAACAGTATAAGGACTGGTTTTCAGTCAACCTGTTTGGAAACTGCTTTGATTTCTTGATGAGACACCCAGGAATGTCTACAGATACACCATCAACTGCCTCAGCAAATAGAAAAAATAGAGCCAGTACCAGAAAACCAAAACAAAGAAAATTGACTGGCAGAAAGATTGATGGGATTATTCATCATCCAACTAATATAGAATTGGGTGCACTTGAAGCAGCAAGATTTTTTGTAAATGATGGAGATCAAAAACTGCCTTATTGAGTCTTTTAAAATGCCAAAGACTTTGAAGGATATTTTAGTTGATATGATAAAATCAAAACGATGCAATGATAAGGAAGTGAATAAGTTGATGGCCATTGGTATCCTACATTTCTGCAATAATATTCGGTTTGTAAGGTTATGGTTGGCTGGAGGGTCTATATGTATCTTTTCGAAAGATGATATTCATTCTATCTCTGATCACTTCTCTAAACCAAGCCATTTGGATTTTCTCAAGTTTTTAAAAAACAGTTGTGCGAAGTCAGGTAACTTCTTTTTATAAATACACTTACTAGATTCATTTGACTTAATTCACAAATGACTTTTTTCAGATTATAATTGAAAACAATTTAAAAACACTTGGATTCATCGAACAGAAGACTTCAAAGGAAGATGACTTTAATGAGGAGGATCTTATTTCAGAAATCTTAGGCAATGACCGGGGCCTTTCTCGACCAACAACTCCTGAAAACCAAATTTCTGTTGTGAATTGCTTTGAAACACCACATAAAAAGAAAATAATAATAACCAAATAACAAAACACCAGATACAGAGAAAATAACAAATAAAAAGAGAAGACCTAAATAAAATGTTTATAACATATAATAAATGGATTAGTTTATGTAGTTACATTGCATTGAAAGTGTCTATGTATATGTCAGCGGTTTTCTTCATGAGGCGGTTGTGCCCCCTCATTGTGACAATAGGGAGTGATGAGGCCACCGACTTAGCCAACTACTTAAATACACTCACTGGACAAAAGTCTACGTAATTTTTGTCGATCACATAGTAAAACATATGAAAAATCTATTTTTTC